AGAATTAAGGTTGCATAGTGGAGTGTCCTGGTTGGTCACCCAATACGGACAGAGTGGGGTGGAGCTCCCCGATTAAAACAAGCTTAGAAGCAGGAGTGGCATCCACTTCCAGAAACCCTATGAACCTGGAGAGAGGATGAGAGACACCCAAGCATTGAGGACTCTTCTTCATAGGGTCGCTATGAGTCGCCTGAGACTCAATGGCACTAAACAACAACAGTGGGGTGTACTCGGAGTGGGGGGAAGGCAGCGGGATTGTGTACCAATGAAGGAATTTTTCTTTTCAAAGAGAGGAGCGAACTGGGGTGGGGGTGGGGGCAGGGAGAAAAGTGCAACAACGAATGACTGGAAATCCAAAGTCTCTGTAAATGTTCATGAAAATTAATAAAGTGTTTTTTTAAGGGTACCTACCCACAATAGAGTCCCTTGTAGAAGTGACAAGAGGGAGATAGAGATTAAAGATCAGGAAGTCTGAAGCAATTGAAAGTTAAGGAGTAAAAAAAAATAGTTCAAAGGGTTTGGGGCTAGTGGACAAATGCTTGAGATCTGAGAGAGGTGTCTCCATGATCTTGTGCTGAATTCCAAGTATCATATGCATAGACTCAAACATCGTATCATCAAGCGAAGAAGAGCTGGAAGCTGAAGAATTCATGCAAAATCGGGAGATTTCTGAGTTCAGTGATTACAACAATGAGCTCAAGTATGTGAGACATTGTGAGGATGACAAAGGCTAGAACAGATCTGTTTTTCATAGGATCATTGTAGGTCACACTCAACTCCAGGGCATCAAACAATAACAAGGGATACAGACGATAGCAAGGTTCTCTGATGGTTACCAGAGATGGGGAGGGAAAGGAGGGAGAATCCTTTTTATTTCTTTTCTGGCGGGGGGGGGGGGAAGAATCCTTTTTAGATAATAGACATCGTTAAGAGTTGGTAAAGAGATGGACAGTTTCAATATAAGTCAAGTCTACACAGCTTAGCCAAAGTAAACGGCATTAGATAGTACACAATAATAAAGGTCCGGTTTGAGAAATGTTTATACCATACACAATTTTGCATCCACAGTGGTAACAACCAAAAAAATATGTGTGTGTGTGGTGTGTGTGTGTGTGTGTGTGTGTGTGTGTGTGTGTGTGTGTGAATATATAGGTCAAAGCTAAAAACTCAGATTGATTGCCATGGAGTCAGAACCCGTTCATAGCTGATCCTCTAGTGGGATGCCCAGGACTGCAAATCACACTGGAGGAGTCCAGCCACTGCCCATCTTTCTCCCAAGGGGCAGTGGCTGGACTCAAATCACCAGAGAGGTACATCGGCAACACAGTCCCTTTGTACTAGGCCACCAGAGCTCCCTTTTCTGCATAGAAATGGAGAAACTAAGGCACATCCATCTGTTGCTATGTGCTGTGTTATTATGTTGTTATGCTTTACATTCAGCTATGACTCATAGGAAAGCACACAGAGGACACTGTCACAGATACTTTGTAGACGTATCCAGACAACTCTTGGGATTGGTCAAATTTAGGACTCTAATCTCGTGAGACAATTTAGTCAACTAATAGTTTACAAAGTTAATGTTTTACACTCATCTCCTCCCCCTGTGATTAACTGCCTCTGAAAACTCACCAGAGGGTTAGCTATGGATGGGTTCTGACTTGACTGTACACACCACCAGCAGCACCCTGGGTTGGGGAGTAACATCTGGAGCCTTTTTTTCCTCTAAGGTGACAGTAAATGAATTAAGAAAGATACATCCCAGAGAGAGAGAGAAAGATGGACCATTCTCAGAAAGTAAAAAGTGGTGGAGAAGATCCAAGGAGCCCCTGAGTCTGTCACCACGAGATAGCCTTTGACCTTGCTACCCCTCAAGGTTGCCTTTCTGCCACATAATAAATAGGACTTTTAAATGAATATCATTCCTGAGGAATGTGGTCCCTTAGACAATCAGACACAGGAGAGCAAATGGTTAACATTTACCCACAAGCAAAGCTGAGAAGGGAAAGAAGCCCCATCAACAGAAACATAACAGCGTGGAAATAATGTGAAAGCTGACGCACTGTAAGCATTGTGATACGTGTTACAGAATAATTCCTATAAAAATTAGTAAATGGGAATGACATTTTCTGTGTACAATTTCACCTAAAACACAAAATCTTTTTTTAAAAACGAAAACACATATAACTTCTGTGCTTTATCTCAGTGTTTCTAAAAAAGAAAATGCACACAGCAAAAATGTTGACTTTGTCAGGCAATCTAAATTAGCTCTGTAAACGGGGTGGGGCTCTGGTGGCCTAGTGGCAAGATGCTGTGCAGCAAGCCTGAAGGCACAGGGTTCAAGGCCACCAGCTGCTCCACGGGAGACGGATGGGCAATCTCCTCCTGTGCCATTAACTTCCTCTGAAAACCTGCTGGAGGGTCAGCTATGGGTTGGCTCCGACTCTGTGGTAAACAACAACAACAACAAGTTGAGGCCTACAAACCCAAATTAAATCAAACACAACCCCAATCTTCAGTAGCTTCAAAATATACACTCAAATGCACCAAGAGGGGAATCAGTCTGGGTGTGATATTTACAGGGATACCAGTTTCACGATCACCTACTCACTGACTGATATGAAAACTGGAGGTTGGAAAACCATTGTGTATGCAACTTACTCAAACCACACACACCCGATTAAAAAAAAAATACAAAAAAACTGATACAGAAATACTGTCAATTCTTTGCTACTTTTGATACTGCTTTTTTTGGGGTTGTTTCATATTGTAAAAATTACAAAGTTCAAACAACATTTTTTTAAAAAAAGAAATGATCGAAGTATTTTTAAATTGGATGAAAATAATTCCTTTCCCAGATCTCAAAAGGGCTGTGAACTCCAAGGAAAATAAACAAAAATAAGCAACAGCCAGGCACATTATCATCAATTGCTGAGTATCCTGATAAGAAGGACACTGTAAAAGCAGGCAGAGCAACAAGCACACATTATGGAGGGAAGGAAAAAGATAAGAATGACAGCTGAGAGAGACTTCACAGATACTGTGTGAGTCAGAGCAAAATTGAGCAACATTTTTGAAGTACTGGAATAAACAACAAAAACTGTCAATCTACAATCCTCCCCCCAATATATTTCAAAAATGAAGGTAAAAATCATTTTAAAAAGCTTTCAAAAATAATTTTTATTATTCAAGATAAAAGATGGTAATTTATTACTTAAAGATTAAAGATAGGAAAATGGTTTAAAATGCACAAACATCAGGAGACAAATTAGAGAATTGGGACCTTATGCAAATTACATACTTAAGCTCATCGAAAGATTTTATCAAAAGTGGAAAAAGCTATTGGTGGATTCAAATTGTTGGGGAGGCCTGGTCTTTGGGTTAGCAGCGTACCCTGCTACAGATTACACCTCCACAGCTTCCTTTTCCTTGCATGTTGTCAAATAAAAGTACAACCCACAGCGACCCTATGAACAACAGATTGCTCGAACCCTGTCCTGTCCTGTGCCATCCTCAAACTACATAACATATTAGAGCCCACGGCAACAATCACCACCACGTCAGTCCACCTGGTCGAGGGGCTTCCTCTCCTTCCCTGACCCTCCACCCTTCCAAGCATCATTTCCCTCTCCAAGGAGCAGCACTTCCTAGCAACATGACCGAAGTATGTGAGACCAAGCTTCATCATTTTTGCCTCCAAAGAGCATTCCAGCTGCACCCTCTCCAAGACACATCTGTTTGTTTGTTTGTTTGTTTGTTTGTTTGGCAGTCCAGGAGACTGTATTTATTTAAGTTTCTTGAAGCGAACGGGAAACACAATTTTAATTGTGTTGTGTAACTTGCTAGCATTTGAAAGCTCACAATCTGGGAACTTTGCATTCTTTCAGTGTAGCTTATGTTTAAAGTAAAATTTTTGTCTCTTAACACTATTCCAAGATTTCTAATAAAAGGCTACCCAAAAAAGGCTGAAGAATTATTTTAGAAGTAAATGGGAAAGAAATGTAAAATATGTTAAATCTGTCCTGTTGTTTGAGTCAGCGATGACTCACAGTGACCCTGTGGGGTAGATGGACAGTACTGTATGTCCACTGAGTTGAGTTTCCTACCTTTTTCAAGTGGGAAGTGGTGAGTTACACCAGGTGCAGGTGGGGAGAGAAGGCACCAGAGAGGGTCAGAGGGCAGAGGCTGAAGGGAAAGGTGGCTGAGAAGGAAGGAGGGGGGTCACAGGCAGACAAGTAAGGGAGCTAGGAAGGTGCTTCCTATAGGTAACAGGAGGAGGTAGCCTAGTGGGTAAAAAGTTACTTTGCCAACCCACAGGCAAACAGTTTGAATCCACTAGCTGCTCTGAGGGAGAAAGATGGGAAATTTTCTCCCATGTGATTTACAGCCTCTGAAAACTCACTGGAGGGAGGGTCAGCTATTAGTCAGTTCTGACACAACAGTAATTAATGCGTGTGATTGAGTGAGGGAGGTGAGAGCAGGGGAGCGAGGGAGATCGGATGAGAGCTGTGATGTGGGATACAGCGAAGGAAGGGACAGTGGGATGGTGGTGTGTGGGCCTGTGGTCAGAGAGTCAGGACTGGAGAAGGGGATGGGCTGGGGGATCTGAGGATGGAGAGGAAGGGTCGATGGGGTCAGCGTGTGCAGGATGGCTCTGGCTCGTCCATTCTGATATCCCTGCCCTAGTTTTAATTCTGCTTTTTGAAAGGGGAAAAGGTCATAATTTTTACTATATATGTCCCAAACTCAGCTTGGTCCTGCCTCCTGGATGAAAGACAGGAAGACAGAGCTGCTTTCCTGCACAGTGCACGAGCAGCCCATGACCTCTGGAAGGTGTGTTAAGACTGAGCTCTTGGGGTCCTGGACTGGGCACGTGAGGGGTCGGCATGGGGAGCAGAGCACAGGCAGGTCGGAAGATCTGAATGTCCAGGCCCACATCTCCAGGCGGCATCAGTGAGTCCGGACAGGCAGGGAAGTGCGCGCAGAGCCTGGGCCAACAGAATTTACTCTGAGGGTCCCCGGGTTTGGGACAGGATTCTCTGCTCGAGCTTGGCGTACCGCAGAAGGAGGGCCTCGTAGACCTGGATGCGCAGAAAGAGAGGTTAGCATGGGAGGAGGGGACTGAAGGTCTGCATCTATTTGCAACTTGCAATTTTAAAATGTTACATCTCATTTACTTGCAAACATCTCATTTACTTGTAATTCCTTTTTTTTTTTTTTGGCCCAAAGACAGTAGGCATCAATTCATGAAAAAGGAAATAACAGAATTTCTCAAATTTATAGGGGAAAACTTCTTTAAAAAAAAACAAATTACACACCAAATTTATTTTTATTATTGACAGAAATGTAAAAAAAAAAAGTCTATGCAATCCCAGAGGTACACAGTTCTAATCCACCAGATGCTCTGCTGGAGAAGGAGGGACAATCTCCTCCTGTACCAGTCAGATCTGATTTGATGGTACACACAAGTAAATAATAAAAATTAAAAAAAAAAGTCTAAGTGACTAGGTATGTAGGTAACTAGAAATGCTCACTGCACAATAATGGTCCAAGTCTTTCGGGAATCACCTTGACTCTTTACCTGTACTGGTGTTGACGGCGGACATCGCAGTGGCCCCTGACTCAAGCTGACTCCATGTACACCAGAGTGGACAGCTGTCTGCAGGGTTTTCACTGGTCACCCTTCAGAAGTAGATTGACAGGTTCCTTCCTAGTCTGTCTCAGCCTGGAAGCTCTGCTGAAACCTGGTCAGCATCCCAGCAACAAGCAAGCCTTGCAGTGATGAGATTCACTGGCAGAAACTGCACCCAGATTCCCCATGGAAGGCTAGAATTGTACCACCGACCCACTGCTGCCCTCCTACCCGTAACACACTATAAAACCCCCTCAAACCTCCTGATTAATGTCCACAACCAACACCCATCAAGTCCCTCAGGCTGTAAATCTTTAGAAGCAAACTCTGCCCATCTTTCTCCCACAGAGCATCTGGTGGATTTGAACCATTGACCTTTAAGATTAGCAATCCAACTTGTAACCTACTATGTGACCAGAGCAGGCAAGAAAGGGCGCCCTTAGGAGACACCATACTCCGGGAAGCCCCGTTTGACTTCCCATCAAGTGGTCATCATTTGTTCTCTGTGCTGTGATACAGTCCCTTGTCTCTGACCCGGGAATCCGTATGTTTTCTGTCAACGATCAAGAAGCTGAGGGCTCACTTGCTGGTTTGCAAACGTGGTCATTCTCAGAAGCCCCTATTGTTCCCTGCAAATTGCTCCTGGGCTTTGGGATGTTCTGTAGGAACAGTGGTGGTGGAGGGTGTGATGGACAGATGGAGAGAATGGAGGACACGAGAGTGAAAAACCTGCTCTCTCAGCTGTCCGAAGGCCTGCTGAGAGACAAAGCTTAGCAGTCAGTCCCTTTGAGAATCAATTCGGTTATAGTTACACTGCCTTGTCCCAGCCTGGTGCGGCCCCCTCACCCCAGCTGGGTGCCAGCCAGCCTCAGGCACTTGGCTGAAGGCGCCATCAAACTTGCAATGCACTGTGCCACCTTTCTCTTCCTCAGGTGTGGATCACAAAAGCACTTCTCCAAGACGCCTCACCCCCTCCTAAAGGACATCTCAGGACCTGCTTTCTGGGGAACCTAAGTGGGGTCTACCTTCACAGGGACCTCCTGGTTCAGGTCACAACACAGCCACGCTGGATCCAGATTTGAGATTTGGGTGCTAAACTCAGCACATTTTGTGCTTAAGTGACAGCACCTATCAAGTATCTGCTTGGAGAGGGACATCATGCTTGGGAGGGTGGAGGGACAGCGCAAGAGGGGAAGACCCTCTATGAGGTGGACTGATTCAGTGACTGGGGTAATTGGGATGGGAGTGTCAGAGACAGTGCGATTGGCACAGGATAAAGCAGAGTTTAGGGCTGTTGTACATAGGGTCGCTATGAGTTGCAAGCGACTCAACGACACATAACAACAACAACATTTCTGGAAGGGTCCAGCCTGAGGCACACCTAGGGCTGTAAAACCAGGGATCTCAGATGACAGCTTGATTTCTTTTGCTCAATTTACTGGATAATCTCAAGAAAGGAGGATTTTTCCTTTACTTTATCACATCCAGATTAAAGCAGAGGACAAAGGAAAAACTTACCTGTATGGAAAAAAAGCCTGGCCAGCTTTCCCCAAGCGAACACTTTCACCAAATTCTGATGGTGTCTCACCTGAGCAGCTCCCGGGGCTGGGGTGGCAGCTAATCTGGGGCGAGGGGCCAACTTCACGATCTCTGCAAAGGGCGCGTCTGGTCCAGTTGCAAGGCCTACAAGGAAGAGTGCCTTTCACACGACTATACACTCCAAACGGGGGAGCTGGCGCAAAGGGGTTCACTGGGGTGAATCACGGTGAAGTCTGGATTAGGTGGAGATGGTACCACGTGGTAAATTTACCAGAAATCACGGAATTGTACACTTACAACAGGTAAATTTTTTGTTATATAAATCATCCCTCAATATGTTGCTGTTGTGTGTTGTCGAGTTGCCTGCATCACTGTGTACAACAGCTCCGAAGCCTGCCCGGTCCTGAGCCCATCCCACTGACTCTGAAACACTACCCCCATTGCCCCAGTTACTGTATCAATCCATCTCATCTGGAGTCTGCCTCTCCTGTGCTGACCTTCTACCCTTCCAAGCATGACATCCTTCTCTAAGGCCATGTGCCCAAATTATGTGAGACAGAGCTTCAAAATCCTAGCCTCCAAGGAGAAACTTGGCTTCACCCTCTCCAAGACAGGCTTATTTGTTTTCTTGGCAGCTCATGGTATGTTCAAGACTCTACTCCAGCACAACTCAAAGACATTGATTCTTCTTCTATCATCCTTAGTCATTGTCCAGCTTTCTGATTCATAACAAGTAATCGTAAAGGCCATGACCTGGGTCAGGTACACCTTAGTCTCTAGACTGACACTGTTGCTTCTCAGTACTCTGGAGAGGTCCCTGACAGCAGATTTTCCCAGTGCAATTCATCTTTTGATTTCCTGACTGCTGGTGCTGAGAGAGTTTGATTGTGGAGCAGAGAAAGCTGTAATTGTTAACAACCTCAATCACTTCTCCATCTATCATGGTGCTGACAACTGGTCCCTATCCCTCAATACAGTTGATTAGAAAAAAGAAAACAAGCTTCCAACCCAGGTCTTTGTGGTAGGTACTGTTGAGGTACCGTTGAGGTGACTATGACACATAGCGACCTTGAGGGACAGGGCAGAACTGGCCCACAGAGTTTTCTTAGCTGTCATCCTGTGCTACAAGAGCGGATTAAACAGATTTTTCTTCCACAAGCTGCTGGGTGGGCTAGAACCAGCAACCTTTCCATTAGCAGCAACAAGCTTAACCATTTATATCACCAGGGCCCTAACTGGTCTTGCTTGTTGGAGTTTTGACCTCTGTTAAAGAGGCCCGTTAACCTGTCATGTACCAGAAGGTGAGGGGCCACCTGAGCCCTCCTCATTGCCCATCACACTCTAGCTACCCTTGTCTTTAAGCAATTTGTTCTGCCTCACAGCCTTTTCACTTTATGGAATATTCTTGTCTTAGTGTAGTAGTATTGGCTTGAACATAGTAATTCAGTGTTTTGTACATGTACTTTGTAATTTAGACAATCATTCGCATACATTATATGGAATGTTCGTTGATGTACCAATTCTCTCCTCTGTACAGCAAAGGGACAGATCAGTATATGTTCACTAATAACTTTCAATGTTCAAGCAAATACATGTGTATTCAAATTGGTGTGTGAAGAAGTTAAAATACTTATTAATTTTCAATGTTGAAAAATATGTAGGAGTTTAAACAGGTGTATTAAGAAGTCAAGAATAACTACTGAAAAAGAACAGAACCATTAGAGAGAAAAAGCAGGATGCTTGAGGACAGACTGAGGCATGCCTCGAGCCAGCGGTGGACAGGCAAACGGACACAGATGGAGGAAGAACCCGGGTGGACAGCACCGCTGGGCAGGGAACTCCTCTTCTCCCTGGGAGATTCTAGAAGGTGCAGGCCTTCTAGGGAGAACGTTAGAACAAAGGCCTGCTTGGAGCTGTCCAGGGTCCTGGACTGTTCATATCTAAAGCCTTCAGCTCTGTCCAAACCTCTTCCTCTTGCTGAGAACACTGCTCCTGATTCTGTCCACCACTCCTGCTGACCAGCTGTGCAGATACGTGCCTAAGTGCCCTCCAGTGTGCCCAGATCTTTCCCAGCGTCCTGTGCTTACCCATACGCTGAGCAAGCCTTATGCCAGCTAGCTCTCTACCTTCTTTTCTCACTGAAAGTAGAGAATAAAGGAGGTCTGGATTGATCCTAGCCTGCCAGGAGGGAGTCCTGGACGTCCCATGGACTGCCAAGAGAATAGACAAATACGTCTTCTAGAAGGTCCAGTCAGGGTGCTCCTCAGAAGGAAAGATAGTTCAACTTCACCTCACGTACTTTGGACATGCTGTTAGGAGGGGCTAGTCCTCGGAAAAGGACAGCATGATTGGAAAGGTGGAGGGTCAGGGAAGGAGGAAAGACCCTCAAACAAGCTGCACTGACAGAATGACTGTCATGATGAGCTCGAGTACAGCAGGGATGATGAGGTTAGCACAGGAGAGCGTGGAGTTCAGACCTGCTCTTACTGGATCTCTGTGAGTTGTAGTTGACTCTACGGCATCAAACGACAACAGGGTGGAGAGAAATGAAGCTAAAGACCCCCAGATCGGGAATCCATGCCCCTCCCACCCCCCTCAGCCCAGATGGTGCTTCCATCGCTGCACAGGCCGCTGGCCCCACCCACTGACCTACCATGAAAAGCTCGGTATGCAGAACCCACACAGGCCGAGTTGGCGGTGTCTGTGACGTACACTGGGGCGCCAAACACGTCCGCGAGCACCTGGGGAGGACACACTGGCGTTCACCGTGCTGGGTCACTCTCAGGAGGAACATGGAGATTTTGAAGTTCATTGTCAAGGTTCCCCTTCCTCATATGTCTTCCCATCCCTTCCATGTCAATCCTCCTGTTGTAAAACAACTGTATCCAGCCACGCTACCAGTTCCCACCACTCTGTGGGTAGTACGGTGGGATGACCTGGGGGAGGTCCTGACTGGAGAGTGCTTTCATACTTGCTAGAATGCGACAACAGAAAGATACAACACTGATACAATGACCCTCAGGTAGATCAAAGACGTTCCTTGTTACTTACAGCCCTGAGGACAGAAGGCTGTCACATGGGGCCAAACAGGGACCCTACCCAGGGGACAGAGTGGAGATGTGGGAAGTGGGTTGTGCACAACAAGCAGTGTGGGGTTAGCTAGATTTGGTGTTTGTTTGTTTGTTGTTGTTGTGTGCTGTTCAATCAGATCTGGATCTGACTAACACAGGAAGAGATTGTCCCTCCTTCTCCAGTGGAGCATCTGGTGGATTCGAACCATGCGCCTTCGGGATTGCAGCGCAGCTTCTTGCCACTAGGCCACCAGAGCTCCCTGTTAGCTAGGTTGTGAGCATTTCCTGGGGGCTGAGTTCTTTGGAGTAATTCTGCAGACATATGGATCCCCAATCAACGCTCATGGAAGTAGCAGTCAAGGAATCATGTGACGTATTGCATTGGGCGCACCTATTAAAAGGCAAACATGTCAACTTGGGGACTAAGGTACAGGTGGCCCATCCTTGCTATTTTCAGTCTCCTCAGATGCATGGGAAAGTTGGACAATAAATAAGAAAGGCTGAAGGAGAACTGATGCTTTTGCACTGTTTGGTGTTAGGCAAGTGCCACAGAATGCTAAAAGTACAAACAAACCCGTCGTGGAAGAAAAGCATCCAGAGACCTCCTTAGAATCAGGCAAGACGTTACTCCCACGTGCTTTGGACATGTCAGCAGGAGGGACCTCTTCTTAGAGGAGGATCAATGCTCGGTAACACCGAAGGCCTGAGATACAGAAGACCCTCAATGAGGGAACTGTTACACTGGCCCCACCAGGGGGCTCCACACACAGCAATGCTTGTGAGGATGGTACAGGACAGGGCGGTATTGAGTTCAAGTGCACGGGGTCACTGTGAATCAGGACTGAGTCAGTGCCCTCTAGCGACAACATGGAAGAAGGGGCCATTGCCAACAACAGGAAACCCCTGGTGACAGGGATTGGGGCCTCTGGTAGTGGGATGTGAGGGCTGAGGCTCAGCAGTGTTGGTCTGATAAAGGGAGTGACTGGGTATGAGCTTAGCAAACTGCACATAAAGAGCATCTCAGGGGAGCTCTGGTGGCCTAGTGGTAAGGAGCTGCAACTACAATCCCAGAGGCGCACGGTTCGAATCCACCAGATGCTCTGCTGGGGAAGGAGGGACAATCTCCTCCTGTACCAGTCAGATCTGATTTGACGGT